TGTACCAACTAATTATACCAGAAAATAAAGAAGAAAAATCTTCCTTTTTCTATCTGCATTCATGGTATCAGAACCACAGTTAGCTAGCTTGGCCTGAATAAATTTTTTCTCTCCTCTTTTTTCTATCCTTTTTTTGGTTCAGTTTTTTTCTTATGATGTCACAAACAGTCATGCCTGGAACAGTGAGAATAGACAACACCAGTTTCACTGCCACATCTCCTAAAAATACCGCGGGGATGCTATTACCGTCAAGGTCTGTAATCCTCAACGGAATTGAAAATTCCCTAATATAATTATCCATTCACAAACTGAACGGAAAAAATTACCTGGAGTGGGCGCAATCTATTAAGTTGGTGATCGATGGCAAGGATAGAATTGGTTATCTCACCGGCAAGACAAAGAAGTTAGAAAATACAAATCCAACATTGCAGCTTTGGAAGTCAGAAAACTTTTTTGTAATGGCCTGGTTAATCAATTCCATGGAAGCTTCAAATAGGAAAACATATTTATTTCTTCCCACTGCGAAAGATATGTGGGATGTTGTCCAAAAAACGTATTCAAATCTTGAAAATTCTTCACAGATCTTCGAGTTGAAAACAAGGCTTGGGCAGATGAAGCAAGGTGATTGTGAGGTTTCTGAGTATTACAACGAGATGAAGGCATTATGGCAGAATCTTGATCTCTGCTATAAGGATAATTGGGGTTGTGCAGTAGATACTGTCAGTTATTTGAAAAGCATAGAGAATGACTATGTTTTTGAGTTTTTGGCATGATCAAATAAGAGTCTTGACAAAGTTCGAGGCTGCATTCTTGGCAAAACTCCACTGTCATCGATTCGGGAAGTGTTTCCAAAGGTGCAATGAGAAGAAAGTCGACACCAAGTGATGTTAGGGGAAAAAAACTCATATGCCCCAAAAGTTTCAGCCCTAATGACCAAAAGCAATCATAGTAATTCTCCACTCTAGGCATGGGGAAATAAGAAAGGAAAAAAAGTGTGGTGCAATCACTACCATAAACTACACCATACCAGAGAAACTTGCCGGGAGTTACATAAGAAACCTCCCTAATTGGAAGCCGAGGACTCCTAATCTACCAAATTGTGACCCAAAGGTCTTTCACTCCATCACTGAGCAGAATGGGGAACACGAACCCCTTGATGCAACACCTTCATTCAGTAAGAAATAGTTAGAACACTGTATAAACTTTTTCATTCCACACATTCTCTAATCATGTACCTTCTCT